CATACAGTTGATCTATTGTCCTGGCCCGGTACTACGTATATATCTTGAATTGTCAACAACGTGACCCAGTGTCAATAAAGGAATCATTAAATCGGTCCCTTCTGTCTGCTACCACAGTATTTAACATTGACCGGATGACGTTACACAGTACTATAGTGTACCGTAGTAACATGTACACCCTACATTCTCTTTGTTGTGACCCCTGTTGTTCGAAGCTTGCTTCATTATCTGATATTGACCTAAATGATCTTTGAAGTATAGATCTACCATTACCTGACTACGTACCTACTGGTAACATTTTCACAAAAAAATGTATGTCAAATACGAATAATATGACCACTAAAAGATGGGTCCTCCCGCCCTTATCTTCCACCCAAGTTTCATTCCTGTAAATTCAAATGAAGCAGTCAAGATTTTACTGAATGACATTTTACTACCCGACCCCCCACCCCCCAAAAAAAAATTGTCCAGAAGGTATAGATTCTTAAGCCATTTTTTAACCCATTGATACAATCCTGAATCCCTGAATGACACTAAACGTAGCTTTGATTGCACTTTAACATTCTGCAAGATAATCTAATCCACACTGACCATAAAACTGAATGAAGGCTGTAACCAGGTATTTGTATTGCCAATATTTCGCAGGAGAATGGATGGTGTGGCAATCGTGCTTGTTGACATTCCAACATGGCTGTGACCATTTTTTTTACGATGATTGACTGTAGCGCCGATCGATAGAGACAGGAGGTTTCAGCTTTACCACGACTTAGAATTATTGCAGTATAGATTGTCCGAGAACAATGCCAACCATCAATAATCTATAGCGTGACCATGCTATGTAAGGGTGAACATCCTTTCACAATTATAACTCAAGTGAAATGAGGTTGTTTAGAAGTGGGATGTAGTACACTATACTCAAAACAAGTTACACACATATCCGTATAAAACTTGGTTAGATGGTTTCTATATGGTGTTGCGTCAAAGTATGTAAGTGAATTATTACAAGCACATTAATGACTCTGGTACTCTTATACAGGATAGCTGTACTTATGGAACACCTAGAGTTTAGATCCAACCTCTCTGAGGCCTGATTGACAGAAAACGTGAATTGATCGACCGGAAAATTGATTTCCGTGCTCACTTAAGGATGTATATATATGGTACCAGTAACCCTACTCTTATATAATCTCTTCTCCAGGAGAGTTTCACAGTAATTGAAAATCTATACCTTTGCGTCTACAAATGTATAAGTAAGGTTTTTAGGAATAATCAATTGTTGACACATTTGACACTTGGGTAATTCTTGAAGAGATATTGGCTATAATAAGTATTTAAGGGAGATAACTCATTCTGTAACATCACATATAAATAAATAAATATACAACATTTGATATAGTGCCCTATCTAGCTAACATAAGCCACTCTAAAGCGCTTTACAGTACATATAGATATACAATTCTATACAGTCAATACAATTAGCATATATATATTAATCAATACAATATTGAGGAATTTGCTGGAGCTGCCTTATCAGGCACTATAACTACTACATGTACTACTAGTCCTATGCCACCTAGCTAATATCTCCCTATGTGTGTATGTCTGTGTGTGTGCTAGAGATGTATACATTCTATCATCATATTCTAGCCCTTTGTTATGTATAATGTGTAAGGTAACATATGTCGTTAACAAAAAAAAAATCATGATAGATATATACAGTGTATATATCAATAGAATATTTCACTGTGTACATTTTCACATGCGGTTCACAACTGTAAAACCAGGAGTATTAATTTACCATGAGAATTTCCAGATGGGTTGACTATATAGAACTGTTCTTACAGTAAATGTAGGTTTTCCAACAAGCCATGACTATTTGCAATGCACCAGTGGTGACACATTCAGCCAACACAGCTGTGTTCATTATTATTGGGTGAAGCCTATGTATTATATAGACAACATATTTTCTCTAAATAATATATATTTATAGGTACAGTATATTGATCGGAAAATTTCACATCTTGCGTTTTATTATGTTAATAAATTCTGTTGAAATGTATTACAATATTCAGCTGAAATATTATACTGTAGAGTATGATATCGTCTGGATACTGTTACCAAATAACTGATGGGTAGTACTTAATTTGTTTTATAAATACATCAAATTAATTGTACAAGATGATGCCAACCATATAATTACATCATACATGCAAATCTACACTTTTTTAAAAAGTTAATCAAACAGTGAGTTCCAGCACTTATTTAAGGATCCCATTACCACTTCCAAAAACTATAACTATGCACGTCAAACTGATTTTGCCGTTATGACTATATATTAAGCGTCCATAAATCATTTTTGAAAAGAAAATCATACTCTGCAGAACTTTTATGATGATAAGAGAGATCAATAAAATATACAAAATATAACAGAACAATGTTCTATGTTAACCTTGAACCACCAGGGCCAAACCAGGTTCAAACCCTAGACTTTAGATAATTGTATTATCGTACTAACCTGCCTTCAAGGTCACAGGAGTCGATTATTATGTTTAAAACTTTAAAACAACTGGCAAGTAGCACTAATTGATCATATATGATTGTGTGTGACATATAATTGATTTTAGTACTATTAGTGCTGAGCTGACTTAGAACTATAATGTACTGAAGTGGAGCAGGTAGCTATATAGTGTTATAGTTATATAATAGATATATCATATTGTAGCATACCCGATACATCAGATGTATTTTACTATTATTAACTTGAGCACGCCAACTCATTCCTGAAGCAAATTAATTAATTTGAAATCCCAAGTTTGTATACAATTTTTTGTAACAGAATTAATGAAGAATTCTTTGAAATAAGAATATTACTTCCAAGAACAAAACATTCTGTACTGTAGATCAGCTCGTCTTTTTAATCTTATACCAATAAATATATATCCTTGTTCAGGTCGTTATAAACTTGTGCAAATACACTTAAATCCAGTGTCATTGAATTTTCTTGGCAGGTAGTGTAATTCTCAATCATGTTTAGTCATGTAACAATGTACACCTTTGTAACAGCTTTACCTGTCCAGAGATTGAGACTACATCTCAAACTTCCTGTGTTTACCTTTCAATTGTAACATGCCTCCCACACTACTCGATATGCAGGTACAGGTAGATATAAAAGTGATACCTGTTGTAGTGCTATGAAGTGGGATTTGCTATATTCAAAAGGATTTGTGGAGGATTACGACTTTGAGGTTATCGGTAAGCAGTGAAATACATATAAATGACAAGTGTATGTAATGAATCCGTAGCATAAGGGTTGGGGAAATATGAAAATATGTGCTTATTGAATTTCTCTATACCTACGTACCCTAGTATAAATATGTAGACATCTTCATACATTCAAAACAGCACCTGCATGACTCTAACCACTAACCACTAACACACAGTCCGTCGGATGGGACTATACATGGTGTCCCGTGTGAGAACTGTCCAATCTTGCACAGAAAAGATCCCTCAGAGTTTTTTCGAAAAATAGTTGGCAAGTAACACCGATTTGTTCTCGGCCGATAGAACTATGTTCTCTTTATTAGACAATTAGAAGGACTTCTAAAATGTATATAGCAAATAAAATTCATAGAATAGGCAGGATCTGGTGTAACTGGCGGCGGCTCAGTACCTCACTTCCGGTCCAGGCTTGGTGCTGCTATACAACTAGTGTTAGGTTAAGGCAAACATTAGGCCTAGGTATACATTAAATACATATAGGATAGACGGCTCCTTCTCTCCTCTGTCTCCCTTTTCTATTCCTTCACTCCATACTTTATCCCTTCTACTCATTTTCCCATCAATCAATCAATCAATCATACATGCAGCAGCAGTCTATTGCAGCTAGCTGTTCTCTGGATGCTAGATAAACAGGCCATGCAGTCTCATTAACTCATTCACCCCTGAAAATTATTTGAACTCTACCAATTCAAAGTTCGGAATAGTTCATAATAAAATTTCAGGGGTGAATGAGTAAATTTTTAGTAACTCATTCACCCCTGAAGTTTCATAATGAACTATTCCAACCTTTGAATTGGAAGGGTTCAAATGTGTCTTCAGGGGTGAATGAGTTATTACAACCATCACAGTGTATAGTGCATGTGCCATTTATATACATGTTCATTATCATGTTCATTGAAATTTAGATTTTCAATTCAAAGTTGCGCCATTAATCTAGTCATTCTACGTTACTTTTATGTCAAAGTAGCAACAGGAAACAAACGCTGGTGGATGACTGAGGTTTTGTCACATTGCTACATGATAATTGGTACAAAAAATATCTGCTGGCCATCATATAAGTCCATGATATCAGTCAATGAGTTACTAAAAATTTACTCATTCACCCCTGAAATTTCATTATCATGTTCATTGAAATTTAGATTTTCAATTCAAAGTTGCGCCATTAATCTAGTCATTCTACGTTACTTTTATGTCAAAGTAGCAACAGGAAACAAACGCTGGTGGATGACTGAGGTTTTGTCACATTGCTACATGATAATTGGTACAAAAAATATCTGCTGGCCATCATATAAGTCCATGATATCAGGACATTTGTCTGTGTGTTCAGTGTATTGTAGTGTCACAACTGTGGTAGGTAGTGTATGGCATATGCTGTAAAACCTCGCTATTATGCCACCATTTGTCTGCAGAAATTTGGCATTATAAAGGAGTTTGACAATAGATTGAGGGAAATGCATAAAGAAATTATTAAGAAAACAAAAAAGGATATAAAAATATGTCGGCGATAAATGAGGTGGCAAGTGAAATGAGGGGCATTATTTCGAGGTTTCGCTGTATGGAAAGCATGAATTCATATCATTGCAAGTGTATCGCTGCAAGTTACATATGCGATATATAAAGAGAATATGCTCAACCTACAACATTGAATCTTGTGTAACATTGTACATGTACAGTATATATGCTTTTAGAGTATGATTATAATTGCGTTGTTTGTGTTGTAGATGCCTAGGATGCGCTCCAGTTCTGGACACTGCTGCCTGTGTGTCGTGGGAGTGTTCATGTTTCTGGCTGGTATTATTATGATATCCATTGGAGTATGTCTCATTTTAAATTATGGATTATTCGATTCAGCGTTGCTCCCGCCAGAACTTCAAAACGATGAAGGCAAAAAGATCATCGGTATTGTATTAACAGTGTCTGGATTTCTGGCTGCAATGATCAGTATATCAGTAAGTTCATATTACTTGTGCCTACAAGGTAAGACGCCATCTGTTCAACCTCATCAACTTTCTTCGCTACCTAATAGTTCACGTTCTGCCTCTAAAGGACCTCATAAAGCTCGTAATGGTGTTTCGGTGAAAAGTCGAGCACCAGGTGCAGATACAAACAAGGTAGCTTCCATGCATTCGAATCCCATGCCAGTTAACAATCGCATGAGGAAAAAGATGAAACGCAGCAAATTGGGATTAAAAAATAAACCCCGTCTGGCGGGTATTCAGGAGGATAGTCTGTCCCGGAAGCAGTCTGAGCATGACATGTCGGCCATGGTTGAGTTGGCTGGTGAGGAGGACACGCCCAGGAGCGAAAAGAGTCGGGAATTGGCTGGAGAAACATGCATAGGTGTTGACAATCCTGTCTTCAGTATAGATGGGGTGGAAAACTTTCCAGGTGCTGTCACAGTAATGGAGTCTGATGTGACTCAAGACAATTCCTCATCGGAAAGTGGATACACAGATTCCGTAAATACAGGGTCAATCGACAAAGACGATTTTGAGGATCAAGTGAAAATATTAACTCAGTGACTCTCTGCTCAGAACAATCACCAGGTTATCAACTTGTTACCATACTGCTGAGAAATGTAATGTAAACAATGTGCAAATCATTTTGAAAGCTTCATATTTATTTATGTTGACTGTTTGTCGGTGAGCAGTGCTGCCGCTGGCACTCTAGATCTGTTGGTCCTGTTTGTAGTGCTTCTGTATCTGGATGTGCATCGACAAAGACTTTTTATCTGAGCATGGTAAGCTTGTACTATGTGGGCTAAATGGCTGGATATTTTCAATGGGATATTCTTGAAAATTCACCTTTACGTGGATGTTCGGACATGCTTTTGGCGGGTCCACATATCAGCTGCAAAAACACTAGAGAAACAATAGAATCCGTTTATTTTGAAATGACACCTAGCCACTCACCCATACTAAAGAAAGTAAGGTATTTGAATATTAATTCTGAAATGATGATGACCACACTTTATATATGGAAGAGAAATATTATGAGAAATATTATTTCACTTCTGTGTTACTAACTAAATCATATAATTAATAAGTATGCAAATGATACAATGCAATAAGTGTTTACAATGCAACAAAGATAATACCTTCACATCCCATTTCTCCAATTACCTAATTAGTTAGTCTATGTATTTATTCATACTCTATATTACTAGTGTGTTTGAATTCTGGTGATACATGTAACTCTATATCATCACAAATCAAATGTAAAGACCTGTACATGCATGTACATAGAATTACCTAGGTTAATGTAAAAGATGGGTTTTTTGATTATCGGACGCAATTCTGTGATCATTATATATGGATCTATAGACTCATTTACACTGATCAGCACATTGTACATACTCAATGTACAGTCTGTAAGCAGAACAATGCATTTCACACCAAAGTTCAATACATAATTAGTATGTATACTTGGTCTTACAAAGAAATTATCAGAAAACTAAAACAGAATCCTTTCACTACAGATAAATTGCAAAACTTTTGTTAGTTGATACTTTTTCTATTTCAATAGTTATTCAAACGTTTTTGTGAGTGTAATGTTTTCATTCTAAAGGTGTTTTTTGATCATACTTGCAGGTGTGATAAGTGAAAATAATATACATACATGTACACTGCAGGTTCACTTTTCTGTTCAGTGTGTTAAACACATATCTTTGTTATACAGCATGGCCATGACAAAATCAATTATCGGCATCCAAAACGATAACAAAATCAACTGTATATATACCGGGTATACATTTATATATATAAAGGTGTCTTATAGATGAAATCCTGTGCAGAGGTTAAGGTTGAAGGTCGTTATATGTGTAAATAAGTCAATCAAATGTTAATACTAGTACAGTACTAGGTCTAATTCCGAGCCATGAGATGTATTACCAGTGATAGAGTAATATTTCACACATAATTTATTATTGATAATGTATAGAACCACAGATTGAATACATTTTTATAGTAGAACCCTGTTAATTTGACTCCAAAATTTATTAATACCGCTTATAACTCCAATATACAAATTGTACCTAAATATAAGATTGTTTATATAGATAAATATCTTCCTGTTTCATATTTTTTCATTCGTAACTGGAATACTGTTCAATAAGATTATTTCAAATAGTTTTTGTGATAAAAGATAAGTTCCCACTGATTGTTGGAAATTTTTCACTGCATAAAAAACCTCTACGGGAAAATGAGCAAACTTAATAAAAATTCTAAACTAAGTACCACAATAAGATCAATAATTTCATACTCAGTTTGGGCTCCTTATATGAAGCTGTGTTGATTATAATAAGGGGAACCACTGTCAAATTTCATGTAATTGATATACATGTAGCATATTTGATTATCAAAACAGGTAAAAGGTAAAAAAATATTTTGGAGGCAAGGTGAAAACCAAAAAACTCATATTTGAAAGTTATTTTAACTCATTCATCCCTGGAGACACATTTGAACTCTTCCACTTCAAGGGTTGGAATAGTTCAATATGAAATTTCAGGGGTGAAGGAGTTAGGAGAGTTCTACTGTAATTCAGTATGTATCTGGTCAGTTAATTGTGTAATTTAATTTGTAGGCTGCTAATATACAAATGTATATTGCATTAGAAGGGTTGATCATGTCTCTCTTCAACTTGGTTGTTAAACAAATCATCATTAACAAAACAGAGCTTTATTTATAACCACAAATATTTCTACGAAGAACTTGTGATAAGTTTTGATTTAACTAATCAATGGCCCAAGACAACATCTGTAAAGTCGTAGATTTTGCAATGCATCAGCGCTATAGCTTAGCAGATCTAGACTGGACTCGTGCTAGGCTAATGTATATATATATATACATATATATATATATGATAGTGCATCTTGCGCAAGAATAGGTCCTCTACATCAGCGCTCCTTGTCCGCGATGCTCTCAGCTTAATTGCTGCCTTCGGCTGTCTTTATATTAGCCGAGGGGACTATTGGTTTTATATAATAGCTATATTTTCAATTATAGTATATCAATTCTATCTTCTTGTAATATGATGTATATGTACATGTAACTGTTCTGTTTCACTGTGTCTTGAAAAAGGAGCGGATCGCTCCGAAAATTTGACAACCTAAACTTGTCCACACTGTTGGAATTACTTCTTTGCACCATATATATATATATATATATATATGTGGTCCATTGTTTTGCATTTCAGTTTGACTAAATTGGTTTGATTTATTATCATATGGGTATAAAAAGATGAAGATAATCAAAGTATTTGGTATGAAAATACGAAAGAAAAATAGCAATGGATATGATATACCTCACCGACAGAGTTTGGTGCTGTCAAAACGTAATAGATCTCGAAATGGTAGGGTAACTCTAGTCTCCTTTTCATTGTTATTTATATAGAATAACACTGTTTGTGCCTTGTGTTGGCTGGAGGGATATACAGTAGAGGCCTATAGGCCTACCTGCTGGCATATGTATATGTGGTCCTTCACATGATATAGGCTATACATATATATATATTTAGTCCTAAATTAAGGATATCACTTATAGTACTTGTAGCTATAAGGGATAGGCAATACTATACAATCCAAACATCGGAACCATCACTAAAGAAAACTGATATCCATCATGTATTTAATATTTCACGTTCTTACTTCACAGAGGTCTTTTTGAGTATAGAAAAGAATGAATGTGATCACTTTGATATGATAGAAGGTACAAAGATATCACCAAATATATCTCATACACAAAAGAAAGGCACTATATAATACATAGGTGGTGTACGGGCCAGAACAAACCTGCTATGATCCTATATATATAGCTACCACCCATACATACAAGAACGTCGATAACCCAGTCAAGGTTATTCCCAGTGAAAGTAGCTGATCGCGTCAAATTTGGCAGAAATATCAATTGGGTGAATGCACTTTAGTGCAAGCGGCCTAAATAAACAAAAGTGGGTCCAAAATGCATATTTGACAATTTTATGTTCAGAGATGCTCCTACCTGGGACTATGTGCATTCTAGCTACGCCACAGACGTAATTAAAAGCGTGTTTGCAAATTGTGAGACAGTTACATGGACTCAATTACCCCCCCCCCCCCCCGCCCCCCCATTCATGCAACCTTGCAAGGTAGCTACAGTATGTTAAAACAATAGCCAAGTTATTGACTGGAGTAACGAAGATGTAATGTACGTAGTGTACATGTGTACATGTGTACACTATACAATGTGGTGTGTATGGTTTTCATATATCTTAATGAGAGAACGATTGTTATTAACTGTGAATGATTGTATTGACAGTTCATCATGTGATATATATATATATAAATTTATATTATTAAAGACTTTATTTTTGTTTGTTAAAACATAGTCCCAACAATCGATAAAACCAACAATTCTGTCTTTCTACAGTTTATATGTCTATGTCATCGTTTGATCAGATGCAATGTATGTGAACCTGATGAATGTTCTTTGATCTGCTGGTTGATGTTGTTCATAGTAACGGTAATTGTATGCTGTTTGTACGTTAACGTTTCCTTTGATGAGTGTAATGTTTTGTTCCATGAATGATGACATTGTTAAGTGATTATCTAGGACTCGAGCTAATATACCCAAGTTCGAAAAGTAATGCAATTCAAGTAGCAATCTTTTTTCCTTTAGTTTTACTATTCATGTTCCTTATATATTATTTCAGTGAGTAAAGGAATATAGTTGGATGTTTCATGGAGAAAATAATGAGAAAGGACTTCTACAAATTAATGGATAACGGTGATTTTCATTTTCTTGGAAAGATTCATTTTGCACAAACGGCATCATTTTTCTTTATCAAGCACAAGTTCATCGGTTGAATATAACTGAAATATTATTTGGGTATGTCATCTTAGCCCCCACAATGCTTTGCAGTAAATATTTGACGAAGGAAGTTATTTATTAACAGATATATAAAGCACATTTATCTCCGATAAATCTCCTCTCTTGAAAACTGTTTAAGTCCGAGAATCAAGTTTTAGATATACCTCTGTTGGAAAAAAGAAGGTAGCAGTTTGTTTCAAAAAGCATACTTGCCAAGTTTCCGTAAGTAATGGCAAGAGTTTCGAACAAGTTCAATTCATTCCAAAAAATAGCTTCATGACATACATCAAAATGGGTTTTGGACATTTTTATGATTAGTAGACTTTGTCAAGTGGTTTATCCATTATGAAAATTTTGAACGTTGGGTTAGTATAACGCAATATTTTAATGATAATTTATTCATGTCCGTTTGTATGCAAACATATTGGCTGCGAAAGCGATGTCATTGAAATTGATGTTTGTTCTTAACCCAAATATCATTGGCATTTATTAAAAAAATGGGCCAAATTTGTTCGATGTTTTGAATTCATCTTTTTATAGACATCCACTTTATAAAGGTACTTTTATCTATTCAATTCAAATATTGGTTGATTATTCACCATTTAGATGTATAGATAATGCTATAATGGTAGTCTGTGGGAGTGGAGAGTTTACATAGTGACTCCTGCGTGTGTGGACGTATATACATTTGTGTATAGAAACACATGACGCCTATATACATTGTACATATGTAGGCCACTAGAGAGGAATCTGTCTTCATACACACCGTTTGTTCACATTTGTTTTCTATATGCCAACTATATGTGGGCTAAGTTTTCAGAAAAGTTTTCATGTTAAAACCAAATTTCAATATCTCCTGTTTTTCATTGCTTTACACCCGATCGGTAATTTATTTGATTTAGGACCATCCCAACAATGAAATGAGGATCCGAGATACAGTAAACTCGGAGGCTTAGTGTGCCTGTTATTTGGATATGTAAATCGTTCATGGTGTATGGATTTGCGTGCATGAGTTGTCATACTTTGTGTAGGAAACACGTATGTTCAGGGATGATGTCTTTTGTTTTGATGTCTTGTCAATTCCTGTTGTTAGTTGTTGTCCATGTCTGTTAGCGATGTCGCCTATGGGACTCTTTATATTGTGTGTGTGTGTTACTTTAAAATACTGCTTAACAATGAAAACCAATTATTTTACACCAAACGTCAGACTAGGAAGGCATGGCTGTGATTATTATTATTTAATATTTAGTGTCTTAAACACCTAAGGCCAGTCATTTTTGGCTGATTGCATCTCAGTAACCTTTCAATGAAACCCTTATCAGATTAAACAGTTAACAATTTAAGCAACCCTTTATTCATAAGAATGTCCAATCATGAAAGGCCGTTTTATCGATTAAAATAGCACACAAAGAATGACAGCGAAATGTTTCATTGATTTAAATCATATGTACATTGTATGAAGGTTTTCATCAGTTTTAAGGGTGTCTCGATCACCAGTAGGTTTTTATGTACATTCGGTTTATGGCCAATCATTTACTGTTTATATTGTGTACCCCGTAATAACCTACCTGTACATTAAGTATAGCGTTGAGAGGTAGACGTTGAGAGGTAACGAGACACTCGTGGCAATAGCCCCGTATCAACTCGATCAATAAACAGACATACATACAGGTAGTCAAGCGAACCTTACTGCACACAGTTAAATACATCCTACGAACACACACCAGGTGAAAAAAGAGGTTTTCAAACGTTAGCCCTACTTTCATATCGATCTAATTAATGTATCCATGCACTTCAAGTTAATGCGTAGTTGCCATGCTACGTTATACCCTATACTTGTTTTTAGGAACATACTTTTTTTTTACTCAGATTCAGGATTGCATCTAAATATTTTACTCAGACTCAAGATTGCAATGTCAGCATCAAACAAATAATTCAGTATTGATTTTTTTTAAAAAAATGGACGAAAGTTATATAGAGCTTAAATGACCAAGCTATATTGTTAGGGAAACCAAAATAATTCCTAGTCTTAATCCAGCGTTAGGCACACTTCTGTCGTCTTATACGTGTTTGTGTTAAACCTTTTTATGAATAACAATGACTGTTCAAAACTTAACTAATATTTCCAAATACCTCCTCAAACCAAATATTGCCTGAAACATATTTGTCCCGGTTCTATCATAGAAAACAGCTTTATAATTTTGTTGCATCCCTTACAAAGTAAGTTTGTGATGTTAGTGATACTTGTATAATGGGATCGCTGTCTAAATGTTGAGATACGTTTGAAAGAAAATTTGTTTTGCTTGAATGAAAAGAAAAACTGCGAACGTAAATTTCATGCGAACA